CATATTCTTAATCCGTCACCACACGCTGACGGATTACTTTACCTATAATTATTTATCAATTGCGGTAAGTACACCTCAAGCATATTTACATTGAACCCTTAGGACACATGTCTTAAACCCTGTTGTCTTTTTTATAGGCCCCTTAAAACCTCTTGGAGTTATCTGTCATTAACGATGCTTATTTTCTCCACTACTGTATAAATTTTCAAATGTTAAACTAATTAGATCCTAACGAAACTTACTGCGTTAAAATTGTTATGCTCCCATAATCCTCTTATTTACAACCGGTCGGTATCTTATCAAGCGGCCAACGCATGTTATTGCAGGATATTACTATAGGAAAATATTTTCGAAAGAATGAGTTATGGCTGCAATCACAGTATTCTATATTTTAGATAACGTATCATGTTAAGTTGGAATTTTAATATTGGTACACACGTAATATTTTCTTAATATTGCGATCCAGAGATTCTCAGTGACTTCATTTGCATTGCTGTACATTCGTTTTTGCTAAGGGGAGTTGATTTATCTTTTTATTATTAAACACTTATTATTATTTGTATAGTTTGTTATGAGACATTAATATTTTTTCAAGTCTAAACACATCACTCACTAGTGTTTATAATATCATCTACGTATTCACAATTTAATAAACTACAATATAAAGTCATAGAACAACTCAATAAGCGAACGGTACCCGCCCGCCAACGGAAGTCGTCAGTGCCACTTGAGTTTGGATAAACTAATTTGTGCCAGTCAAAAGTTATAACAGGGTCACATATTCAATAGTGATCTCGTGTACACAGATTTAATAATATATAACTTGATAAAGATAAAATGTGCATTTATGCTGTAAACCAAAAAAAAAAGGGTTTTTTTCATCAACAAATGAACAGAAATGAAGTGAAATCTGAGGCGATGATGAATGGTGAATTAATTTATTTTGCAACTAGATCTTTTCAGATATTTTTATACGAGTATATTGATTAGTTTTTTACAACTAGATTGGGTATGCATTTCCCATAGGCTTAGGAAGAAACGCCAGAATAAACCATAGTACCCAAGCCAACATATTTATGTTTATCCAAATAATTTAGGTGTTTAGAGTGGTCTTTATATGTAAAAAGGATTGCAGTTTTTAGCTACCCGCATCATCCTGTAGATTAGATAAATTGGTAATCACAAACTCAAGAGCAAAGCTCCAGCATATTAGTATTCCAATGACAATACTCAGAATTGCCGGATTATGATGAAAATTAAGCTTTACATTGTTTTTCTTTTTCACTTAAGTGAGACTTTTACACACAAGTGACTAAATTCAATTTCAATTCAAAGCAAAAAAAATTGTTTCTCAAATAAAAATAAATACAATAAACATTATTTTACGCTTTATGAAACTGAAAAACGATCATTTTGAGTGAGTTCATTTTAACACAGCTGCATTTATTGTAGGTATAAAGATCGAGTCGAGTTTAAATCCGAGATTTGTTAATTAAAATTTTAATTATATCAAACATGCACGATAATGATGTTTTAACATGTTTATTTATATGAAAACACAAATTAAACTATTATATTTAGACAATTGCCCGCTTCAATTTATAAATGGGTTAATTTAAAATGCGATTGCGATTATTAAGTATAATATTGTTTATAAGCTTTTAATCTTTCATCTTATTCAGTTGAACATTTTATAAAATTTATACAACTCTGTATCTTTAATGAGTATGTTCTCTTCTTCTTCTAGTATTCTAAAAAGAGCTACGTTAGAAATTTTATGAAGTAAAGTTATATAAGTTTGAGTTTGATTAATGACCTCTTCTTAAGATAGAGATGGAAGATAGTAATATGAACTACTGAACAGCAAAATCATACTACACTACATACTACTATGGTTTGAACTAGTCACTTTATTTAAGTAAGGTCTCTGAACCTAGATGACGTTATGGGCTAGATGTTGAAGCCGGATGACGATCATAGGAGCTAACACACACACTTAATCCTGTCGGTGTTAACAAAATATAACCCGCAGAAAAATGCTTAACAACCTATATCCAATCTTTTGAACAACTCTTTAAGTTCAAATTCCTTTACTGAATTATATTGGATAACCAAACGCTTTTCAATTTAACCCGAGTATTGAATATTTGCTACCAATCAAGCATATTGATATTATTGGATCAATGTAGAAACTGACAGTTTTAATTGGAACATCCTTGTTAATCAACAGCTTTTGAAGATACTCTAAATATTGGAGAGGTTCTAAAGTACTTTACATGGTATAATTATGTGATTGAGACCAAGTGGGTGTATCATTATACATAGTGGTAGTATATGAGTATAGTTTTAAAGACGAACTCGTAAGATTAATTTTTATTGGACATACCTATAGAGGGTAGGGGCAAGGAGAACCATCTCAGTATATGAAAAGTGTCCGTCATTATGCGTTAATAAACATTGAAAAAAAAACATTGTGAATACTTATATTGGCTTAAATAATAATTAGACACTGTGTACTAGACTGCAGAATAATGAGTTTTGCAGAAAATAAATAAAGGTGTAATAACTTTCAGACAATAAATAGTACTATAATATTGTAACTCACTTCGTCTACAACAACTTTGTTATTGGTTGTTTCTAAATACATTTGAAGCAATCAACGAAGAAAACATGTACTATATATCAATTTATGGTCTAAATTACACGATAATAACCACAATTAAACTACGAGTAATGTTTTGTATTAGTTACTTGACTTAAAGTCAAGCTTGTACTGGAAATAAATAGCTTATATTCATTTAAAGTATAAGCTGGACTGTCAATGTATAGATTTTTTATTCAGGTCAACAAATCATACATTTTATACATATATATATGTAACACTCATAATTTCATGCAGCCATTTTTTCACATAAAATATTATCGCCGCGCACTTTTTCTTAAAGAAATTAAAGTATTTATTTACATTATTCCGTAAAACAAAACTTGTCACTTGTATTTATTTAGCTATAGATTATGAACCCTCAAAACATTCAAGTAAAGTACAAAAATTAATGCATTAAAAATGTTGAAATTAAAATGTTTAAATATCAAATCACTTTCTTTGATAATTCCCAGTGTATGAGGATTAAACTTGTGACTTCAGATTATCAACTAAACTATGAAATAATTAAGACTTAACGCTTTCGAGCCTCAGTAAAATCATTTACTAGCACCAATCAACGAGTATTTCGTAAGAACTAGATTTAAAAATGTCTCTTTTGAATCAAAACTCGTTTCAATAACTAAATTACCAAACAAATGACGAAGGAAGCAAGGTCGAAAGAATATCATCATCATCAACAACCTTTAATAGTCCACTGCTGGACATAGGCCTCTCCTTAAAAGGAATAGGTAAAAGAATATATCCCAACCTAAAATATTATGTCTTATACAAACTACTTAAAAAAAATCTCTCACATGTTTTTCTACATACTGATTTGTAACTTGTTAAATATTTAAAACGACTTTTAAAAAGTGTCTGCGATATTACAAAATATAGCGTGTCAAATGATTAATAAAACAAACAAACTATTTCTCAAGATTACACAATTTTTGAGTCCAAATTAATAATCATCATTTTAAATGCATCCGATTTGTTTCTTTTAGTATTATTTAAAGTAATATTTAAAAACATAACATGTATTTGAAACGACTTGTAAACTGTACGACGTTTATTAAAATAAACACATAAAGAACCTGACAAATGGTTGTTGCTAACAGTTTGGCATAATGAAGAAACAATTTGAATTTCTTAAGAAAGTCTTAAAATACTCTGCATTCCTTTATTCCCCATAAAATGTATCCTCAGTATAGGTTTAGATCCGTTGGGATACCAGGGATTTCCTTTCTAGGTCACACCTGCCGGGGGCTACTGATACCCGAGACTTACATACATTCCACCGGTAACCCGGTGGGGTGTATGTATGTAAGGTGTACTCACGAAAAATACAGTCTAGGTTTAGAATGTTACTTGAAAGCTATAGAATACAGTAAAAAATATTGACCAATAGTGGCTTATTGTTCGAAAACCTAAGGTAACATTGAATATTCTAGAAAATAAATACTCATTCGAAAGTGAATTGACTGTTGCTTAATAGAGATTACAAAAAGAAAACATAAATATAACATAAAGAGCAATGTCAAGATAAACTTATTTATGACTTACCTGTTTTTAACATAAAATTGTTATTCATGTCATTCGTCCATCTTTTATCCAAATTTCTTTTACGAAATAAATATAACATATAAATTAAATTGGAGTCCCTCACTGAATCTAATAGATAAATAGACGGAAGCACTCACTCCTCAAATTTACAGCCGGACCCACGGGTCCTGTTATCTCGTTATGTTATTGAATAAAAGGCAAGGGTTTTATCAAATCCAACGTATAACGAAACTAAATTACGAAGGTCCTAAAGTGATGAATGTAACCAAATTAATTCGTGCAAATTTAAATATTGTTTTTAAGATATTTGTTTTACGGTAGATGGGCCAATGTTTCCAGTAATTTACAAGTTGTTATCACTTTTTCTTAGATTAATTAGTTATTTGTTTAATTTCCTTTTTAAGTGGTAGTTACGATTTAATATAGAGTATTTGTGTTTCATAATTAGGATGTTATATTCATAGATTATTAGTTTTGTGAGAAAAATTGACCGCCTACTCGTGAAGGTATAAAAATATAAAGGTATAAAGAAAAATAAAACATTGGCCAATTAAAATTTGTTTTAAAATACCGATATATTTCAGTTACGAATTGTTATTTTCTGTTTAATAGTTTAATATTTTTCTTGTATGGTTTTGTCTGTTTCTGTGTCAGTGTATTGTTACAGTGAGTTAATAATGATGTAACACAGTCTTTTTTTTTGTTACAGATGGAACAAAAAACAGAAAATGCTAAAGATTCTTCGTGCTCAACATCATTGGTTAAACTAAGAATGTCTTAGTAGCGCATCAGTATGGATCTTCTCACCACAGTAGCGTCTTTACTTGGACTGATATGCCTTTGCTCGGGTAAGTTAGTTAAACGTGATTAATAACTTTTTATTTAGTAATTTAAGAGGGTAGATTTGTTAACGTCCCACGGTGTATCGGTTATAAAGACGGTCTGGAGCGAAGGAAACCCTTTTACAAAATGCTTTTTCTTTAATAAATAATCAAATAGCGTTATATTATTCAATGTTGGTGATCTTTATTATTGTCGTCGTTTCACTGTACATTGTAAAGAAAACAAAATTTGCAGTAAACTAAAGGACTTCAGGCCACTAGTTTAACTGGTCAGCATATTTCTGGTGGCAAACTAGGTTTAGGAAATCTCAGTAACTGTTGTGTTATTATAATTTATGGCTGATTTAATTATTTCCTTTAAAGTTCAAACTTAGGCTATGTGTATTTACATATCGAAGCTTACTCACAATAATAAAGACAAGGTAGGTACAGTCCTTTTTTTCTATATAAGAGAGAATATCATAAGTTATCACAAAAAAAGTGCCGCAAACGAATAAATAAAGCAATGGGGAGTGACACAGTTATTTTCGTGTCGATTGTAGCCACAGCTAAAAGATGGCACGGCAAGGTACTAAATATCTGAAGGGGATCGCAGCCCCCCGGGACTGTGCCCCATTAAGACTGAACCTTGACTTCCAAGAAATATACTTTTGGGTAATTGTTTATATAATTGGCCAATTTTAGATATGATTCCCAGTTCAATTATAAATATTATATATCGTATTTCAGTTGTTTTCTTTTTTCTCGTTTGTCAAGTCATTAGCATCCAATGAGTCAATTCCATTTGCCGAACACTGGATAGGCTCAGAAAACTTTAATCAACTGACATAAACGTTATTATTAGCTACTACGAGTATATGCTCAAATTGGTCTAATGACTTACCAAACAAAATTCATCTTTGTTAAGAGACAGAGACAAAAAATGTATTTCAATCTCAACCTTAAAAATATTCCCGCGTAATAAACTTTACTTCGCTCAATGAAATCAACTAACACTCAATAAAAAACTACTAAAAACGTGTAGGAAAAAACGACCACGAGTTGGTAAAAGTGGTGTTTTACAAATAAACACACCATAACGATACTCTCGGGGCTCATTGAAGGCGGGAAGCGTAACTTATTGACAAATCTCATTAGGTTAACAAAACACATGTGTGTCCCGCATCTGCCTATCGCATATTTTATAATCAGCATATATAAATACTGTATTTGGACACCATCAATCTTGGCAATGGGTTCTATTTTTTAATATTAACGTGAATCATTTGTTAACAGAATTGTTGTGGTCTTGTTATAAGAGTGGATTAATCGGAGGAATGAACTAGTAATCCGAATTTAAAAAAGTGTACAAATCGTGTTAAACTCTCACGATACTTTTTATGAATTAAAGATTATTTGTCAGAAATCAGACTATAATGGCTTGCATACATTTCGTAATTATAATCATATATATAATTCAAAATACTCGTATAACATCTTTTTACCATTGAAGACTAGGTAGTTGGTCTAGTGGTTAGTCCTTACTGATCTTAACTAGTTGTGGTCTTGGGTTCGATAGCCATCCAGGACAAATAAATGTGTTATGAGCACGATCATATTGTTTTACGTCTAGATATATATGTGTGTATCTATAATAATATGTATCTGTTTAGAAATACATATGTGTGTGCGTAAGGTTGTTATAAATTATTGATATCTCATAGGTACGTAATCTTCTAAAACTTTTCATAACCATTAAAAAAATTACTTATTTTACAACCTTTGATATTTCATACATTAATGTTATCTATCAGTATTAATTTTACTATGATACTTTTGCAGCTAAGTTTACAAATAAAGGTTAAAAACGTCCTACATTAAGATACATTAAGGCACCATGAGTTTTTAGACTCTTCTCATATATCTATACATCTATACAAATAAAAAAAATTGGAGTGTCTGTTTCTAATATTAAAATAACCGCTTTTTACTAAATGCATATGTATGTTTACACGGTACATATGCAAAAATAACATTTTTTTCAATTTATGTCTGTCTGTCTGTCTATTTGTTTGTTGCGGGTAATCTCTGGAACGGCTTGACCGATTTCGACGGGACTTCACTGGCAGATAGCTGATGACATAAGGAGTAACTTAGGCAACTTTTTTTAGACTAGCTTCGCCCCGCGGCGTTGCCCGCGGTAATAACAACAAACGCGGGTAACACAGCGGGTCTCAGCTAGTGTAGAATATAATTGCTAAAGCAGTTTTGCCCACATAGACACCGGCTTCTACTCCTGATACAAGTATTTTCATGTTCAGAACAAATACTTACGCTAAAGAAAAGAAAAGAGGCTATAGTACTATTTGTGTTAAAAAAACATATTTTTCTTTTTACACCTACTATAATATAAAAAGGGGGTTATATTATCTCACTCTAGAACCCTAAACCGACCTCGCACCCGTGGCGTCTATCAAAGCGTAAAGAAGTTAAGCTAATGTTAAACGACGCTTATCTTTTGTGTTTAATGCGTTACACAGCGTAACAAACAAAAAACAGCACACAAAAGCAGCTGAACTAAATCACAAACATTAAGATTTTTTTATTGTGAAATCACTTTTGTTAGGATTGTGATGTAACGCGATGGTTCAGATACAAAAAAAGAACGGATGAATCTGAAAAGTTTAAGTAAGTATATATTTATGTGACAACAATACAAACATGCAAACAAAGAAGTAGTGTGAGGCAAAGTGACCTGCTTTTCCTTATCTGTTAATCTCAAGGGATAAATGTCGGCACAATACTATCTACGCATATCTTCTGGGCGAGACTGAATAAACAATATATATTCTGGCTCTCTTTTAATCTCTAATAAGACATGACGTACCTACATAATTGTAGATGTTTTTTTGTTTGTATTTATATATTTAGACCTGGGTAATCAATTGCAACCAACATTACTAATTTAACCTTATAATAAACTGTTTGATTAAATATTAAATTTATTTTCGTATTCTGTCTTCTGACGTCTTTTAATTTAATTTGTGTTTGTTTTCATAGTATATACAAAAGGAGTACACAACTGACCAGATATAAAGTCTTAGGAACTTACAGCTAGACTTAGCTAGACATTGATGCAATGGGTTAAAGAGACTATGCCCCCTGTCTCCAAAATTACTAGACCGAACAAACGGAACAGCTATCGATCTCAAAGTGACGTGTGTCACGTCATATACAGGATGTGTAGCCTGTTTGTTTACGCGTAAAACGTATTGGCAGAGCTTTAATGGAGTTCATCCTTTATATTATGCTATAGGCTATGTTGAAGGTAGGATTAAGCCGAAATTCTATTACTCGTACACCGTTTTAGAGCAGTACAGTAAAATGGTTTTGTTCAATCCCTATAAAATGTGAGAGATAAAAGATTGGAAATTACTAAATATTTCATGAAAAAAAAATGTTTTAAATGAAAGTGAGTAAAATAAACCATTTGTTTGTAAATCGTGATATTTAAAAAAAAAAGTTTTAAATCATAATTCATATGTAAATATGAAGTAGAAATGGTTAATATGTAGAATACGTAAACAATGTTCTAGTAATATTGATATATATACGGCAAGTAAAATACCTGGTCAGGTTTACATGAGTGTGTTATGCCGGTAAGTATGTATTATTATATGTTTACACGTGTGTGAATTCTACATAACTCGTTCACTGATATATTGGCAAAATTCCGGGAACCATTCTGCATTACTGATTTCAATTTCTCTAGTAACAGTTAATTAAAATCAAATTTGTTTCGTACTACTGACTAGGTATTTTATTTGCCATATGTACACACCTAAGAATTTAAAGAAGAGGTTAAAACTATATATTATAGCAGGTTTTAAATATTTCACGTTACTGTATAAATTTCGTAAGTTCTGTACTTATTGACAGAATTGGGCTTAGTCTAAAATAGCACGGGGTTTATTTGTTTTATTAATTCGCTTCTATAGTATTGACGATGGATGACGTTAATTCTTTGTATAAACATAATTTGATTAACATCCATCCCGTAACTATATGCTGCTGGTTCCCTCGCATTATTCAAAATTTAAAATATTTATTGATTTGAAAATAAATATGGAGAGGTGTAGTATAAAAGTAGCTCTTTTTAAATGTGCATCATATACTCACGACCTTATACTCGAAGGAGTACATAGAAGCGTATTATTCACACAATCTGAATGTTTACCATTACATCATTTTTTATCTTCATACCTGTTGTCAAGAGTATTATCGAAATTACATGATCATCGGTGAGTATTGAAGTCAGTACAAGCAAATAAGTAAACAAACTTAAAATAATTATGTTAGTTAAGATAATATGAATCTGTGGAAGCCTAAAGTATTAACAAATCGATCGAGTAGGGAAGTATTTAGTCCTTATTGCAAAATTTCCTCATCCAAATATACATCTTTATTATGTGTTCACATAGCTAAAAATGATTTAAATAGTTTTAGAGCTTAAAACAGGTCAAAAGTTTTAATTCTTTGTAATACAAATTTCTCAATATCACAGAGGAACGGGGAGGAACAATACGTTATTGTTATCAATTTATTAGGTCTAAATGCCCTGCAGGAGTTATTTTCATTATCAAACATACCTCTAGCCATATGTATTCTGTAACGTCTTTCAAACACTAGCACACTAGATGCGTGTTCGACATTTAATAAAACCAAAAAGGTAGGAGTAAAAAATAACATGATACAATGGACATATTCGTTTAGTGCCTTCATTGTTCGATAGTTCGAAAAATGCCGTATCTCAAACACAACACTAAACAATGCTGTGACATTTATGAATACTCACACACGGAATTCTTTTTTTAAATTCTGTACTTTTTAAACGGTTCATAAATAAAAATACAATTTCAAATGGGTATTATTGTTGTTTACTAAATATTTAAAGTTAAATTAAAAACGTAACCGACAATTGTTTTTATCGGTTAATGGAGTAAGTGACCGTCTTCCAACTAACCTAA